GGCGTCCCACGGACTATAGAGTTGGGGACATGGTCATGGTGAAGTTTAACCCAAGACACTTCAAGGCACTACGGGGCATGCATCAGAATTTGATTCGCAAGTATGAGGCGCCATCTAAGATCGTCGCCAGGGTAGGCAAGATCTCATACAAGCTTGACATGCCATCGTATCTTAAGGTCTACCTTGTCTTCCATGCCAGCATGCTTAAGCCATATCATGAAGATAAGGATGATCCGAGTAGGAGCCAATTAAGTCGAGCGCCAATGACTATCACCGCCTCGTATGATCGGGAGACTGGGGCTATTATGGATTACCAGGCCAGGCGAAACAAGGGCAAAAAGCCACCGCTATGTTCCTCGTCCATTGGAAAGGGCAATCACCGGAGGAGGCCACGTGGGAACGATATGAAGACTTGTGGCAATTCAAAGATAAGATTCGAGAGTTTATGCAGCAGCATTGTGCCGCGGTCGTCGCAATATTAGGTGGGGGAGAGTGTGATGACCAGTCATGTCATCATGCCATATAGGCGCCATTGGCATATATTAATGCCATGTGGAAGCTTACATAAGAGGAAGGCTAGCATTTGTGAGAAGATTCTAGAGAAATAAGGATATTTCCTTAGGAAGACCCTAGATCCTTATGGATTTGCTAAAAAAGTCCTTGGAATCTTCTAGGCTTGTAGAAAATTCTAGAGAAGGGACTTACTTGTAAATATTAAGGACTTGTGGAACAATTATTATTTACACACTAGCCCCTAGGTGATTAGTATAAATAGGGGGGCCATTCATTTGTAATTCATCAAGCAAACAATTCAAGTTCTCTCTAATACAAAGCTTCCTTTAACAGTTCTCTTGTGTTCTTTCTACCATTCTCTTAGCGATCTTGAGTGTAGTAAGGCTGACTTGGCATAGCAAGAACGTGAGCAAGCTGTGCAAGATCGTGAGTGAGTTGTCAAGTGCCACATGTGTACTTAGTTAAAAACTAAGGACGTGACAATTAGTACTCCTTCCATTTCAATTTAGATAAATTAATTTGACTCGGTATGTAGTTTAAGGAAAAAAAAATTTGAAACGTGTGGTATTAAAAGATTAAGGGTAAAAATATTATGGGGGCATGACATTTGTGTAGTTATAAAAGCTTCTCATTAAGAATAAAATGGGTAAAATGAATAGTTTAAAGTTGAATTATCTTTAATTATAAATCTGTGTCATTTTTTTAAACGAACTAATAAGGAAAATGTGTCATCTGGATTAAAACAGATGAAGTATGTTATTTTTCCTTCATTTCTTATTTGAGAGAAGAGAATGATTTAAATAAATTTATTCATTTAGCCAATGCTAATTGAAAGAGGTTTTTGCTCATTTGGTGGATTCGGCCTCTTTCTTATCTCCAAATTGTACCAAACTCATTTGAACCCTTCGAGTTCATTCCAGACCTCACAAACAACTATATCAACATACATATATTGAAATGGAAATACACTAAATGAGAAGTTGTGGTTTGTAACAAATATAACTTTTTCATGAGATTTAGAGTGTAAAAACTACTTTTTACAAAGGAAAAAAAAAAAAAGGAAATGGTGTTAATTTTGTTCAATTAACAACACTCCTTATCAAAATGTCACAAATGTTGCACATAAATCGACGTAAACCAGTTGTTTTATATACGACTTCAAAGCGCAAAACTCCAAAATAAATATCTCATGTCTACCTGCAAAACTATAAAAGCATAAATTTCAAATACTGTATTTCTTACATCCCAATTTATTTGTTATTTTTCTTCTTTAGACATTTTATAATTTAAGACGCTATTTTATTTCAGTATAACTTTTACAGTTTGAACAATTCAAGTTCATCATGTTGTTCAAATTTTAAAGTTTAACGTGGTATTTAATTCTACGTCAAATAAACTTGTTAACAATTATTTTAATATTTTTCTACTATCAAATACTTGTTTTTCAACTACAAGAAAATATTGTCCAAACCCGTAAGCGCAAAATTTTAACTAAAACTTAAACATTTTATGAAGTCAATTACTACGTCATATAATAAAATGGATAGAACTATCACAAAGGGTTGATGGATGGACTCCATTTTTACGCGTTTTTCACTTTTCGTTCTTGATTTCCCAATATATAAGATCAATGCAGTTTTCCCCTCAATGAAAGTGCAACAGGCAGCATAAGTCATAGTACACCAATTCCTAACAAAAGCGTGTTCACAGTAAGTTCTTATGAAGGTAACAAGTGATCATGATTCAAGAAAGCGACCATTTAGTGGAAAAGATGAATTTTCCACAGCCACAAAAGATGCCATATTCAGAATTGCATATTTGACTCTTATTGCACTTCTACAACTTCCATCGGAGAGAATAGATGGCAACCTAGTACCAACTATAATATTCACCGGAAAGCCTGCTATCTTTCATGCATTTATGTTGTCACTGTTATTTGCATTCACAGGGTCTATGATGTCGGAATTTATGCGAGAAAAACAGCCCAAAGCAGCCTTGTATTGTCGAAAGCTGGCTGTATTTTCAATAGCAGTGGCTATAGGAGTATTTGCCTTCTCGAGTTTACTGTCCTTTTACAATATTGAGGTGATGGCTGCACCAAATTAAATACCCAACTCTCTGGTGCCTGATTTACTCAATGGATTAGGCGAAACTAAAGTGCAAATTGATCTCACTGCTTGCTAGCTTGAGCTCATTATTTTCCTATATTTTGATCTGAAAATATGGAAGTAATCAAGGGGGGAAATTTTGTGTTGGACTAGTTAATAAGCATTATTATACATGCTAAAATCCGTGGTGAATGAATAAATAAATGATTCCTATACACTACTATAAATATTGAATTGGACTGCTTGAAGGGATCTTTAGGGTCAATTGTACATGGGATGTTGAGATCAATTTTATATTTGGGTTTAAAGCGTTAAGCTAAGTGCTACTGATGAATAAAAAGACCATAGTAAATGGTTAAACTTGTGTAGAAGAGGAATTATATATATAGCATCTAAGATCTGTTAAATTTATTGAGTTTAGAGTTAAACCACATTCATGAAGGTAACAACAACAAACCCATTGTAAGTGTAATCCCACAAAGTAGGGTCTGAGCAGGATAACATTTACTCAGACTTTACCCCTACCTCTGAAGGTAGAGAAGCTGTTTCGGATAGATCCCGGCTCATGAAGGTAAATGCCATATAATACAAGTCACACTATTAAAGAAAATGTTCGCGTTGTGTCTATTTATACGAAACTAATCAAGGGGGGGAGGGGGGGGGGGGGGAATTTATACATCGAGGCAGTTAAAAATAGCTTAGACCCACGACTGCTATAGAAATACACAGTTTCTTGGGTTTAGCCAGGTATCCAAAGATGTTACATGGAGGGGTCCATTCTTTGTCATCAAGGCAAAGCCAAAGTGGCCGCAGATGTGTTCAGTTGAAAAATTAAACAGTCTAGCTCATCTTTCTCTTATCAGGAGAGCATTTGCTATATAAGTTCTAAGTCTAGAAGGTAGTGCTGTGCGACTTACACGTTGAGGAAATAGGAAAGCTGTTAGCTTGGGTGATCTTAAATTGAACATGATGAGCTAGACTGTTTAATTTAGCAAATGCTCATCATGTTCAGTTGAAAAATAGCTATTTGGCCCCCAAATTTTTTATAATTATAGTTTTTCCTTTTTCTCGACTATAAATACGCCTTCACTCTTTCATTTTTACTCACAAAATCATCAATCTCTCTCTAATTTTCTTCTATAATTGCTTACTTTATTATTGCAATTTGTGAAAAATTGTGAAGTTGGTGAATTGAAGTATTCTAGTCTTCAACGATATACAATTTTCAAGAAGTTGTTCGTCAATTCCGTAAACTCGTTCCAACTCTTAAGTTTTAATATTATAGTTTTGTTTGTTTTAGTTTGTATAATTATAATTAATATGACCTTTTCTTTGAAACAAATGTTTGGTGGTAAGGGAAAATCTAAAATTGGTGAATCTAGTCGCCAAGCTACTACCCCTCCCCCGAATCCCCGGCCCAGACCTGTTACCCGTCCTCCTCCACCTATTATTCTTCATAGTGATAACCCTTGTTTTCAATTTAGCGATAGTCAATTTTGCCATGATGTTGCGCACCAGGTCAACAATTAAATGATGAATATATGAATGTTCTTTATCCTAATGAAACTATTGATGAAAATGATGAGGAAAATGAAGATTTAGATGAAACGCAACCGGATTTAGATGATACACCTACTAGTCCTGTTGTTAACCCAACTGATAATAATCCAAATGATGCCCCGCCTGACCCTCCTGTAGTAACCCCTACTTTTAATAGACAACGTTCTAAACGCCCCGAAACATCTCTTGTTTGGAACATTTTTACTCAACTAAGAGAACAAAATAAGGCTAAGTGTAAAATTTGTGGGTCTTTGTTGGCTCATAAATTTGCTGGAGACCGTAGCGGTACGGGTACTTTGACTAGACACATAAAGACACACCCTAGAGATAAAGTTAGATATCTTCAAATGAAAGCGCAGCTAGAGGGGAGAAGTGTAGGTACTGAGGTTAACCCTAGTACCGGGTCAAATCTAGTTCAACAGACTTTCAAGGCTAGCCATGCAAGACAGATTTTATGCGAGCTTTAGAAAGAGGTTATAGAGGGAAATAACAGACTTTCACAACAATGGTATGTTGCAGCTTTAACCATCGCCTTTGTGTGCTAGACATAGATGACCTGAAGAAAGCCATTCAGTAAGGAGTGCACTGTTCTTGGTGTACAGTACATCCAAGTTCCATGAAAATGTATCGGGGTCTTAAGCAGTTGTATTGGTGTAGGGATGAAGCTAGATGTAGTACAACTTAATAGTACATCTTTTCTTAGCATGTAGTTGCTTTAGGCACTACTTGACATCTCTTTTATACAGCAAATCTGTGGTAGCTAATGGCCAGCACTAGAAAAAAAGGTAAAACAAGGTAGGTTGCAAATCCAGGAAGAAAAAATGCCAACAAAAGAGCAAAAATCAAATTTTTAAGTTGGTGGACTGAGAACAATCAAATGCTGTTTTAATCCAAAATACAAGCAATGGGGCTTCTAGTAGAGAACCAAAGAGCCAAACTTAGCACAATTTTCATCACGGATTCCAAAAAAACAGAAAACCAGGACATGAAGTCCATTATTTGGAGAAACAAGGAGCAATACCACAACTAGACACCAGAAACATCCAGAAACAACACCAGTAATTGAACTGAACGACCCTCAACACCACTCCTTTTCTTCTTTCTCTTCCTCTTTCCAGCAGTCCTGCAGAACAGACTTTGGAGACCCACAGAAAGAACTCCTAGCAAACTTCTGGTAGACAATAGAATCACCCTTACCAAGTTCTTCTGGGCTCCACTCAGCAAGAGAGTAGCCCTTAACATCGAGAGAGCATGTATTCTCGAGTAGCTCAAGAGCAACATCAGCATGCAAAGCAATAGAAAATTCATCAGGCTGGAAACATGCCAGTACCCTCTTAACCAGTGCCCCCAGACTCAAGGAGTTAAAATCATATCCAACTGCTTCAAAGCTAGCATAACTAAAACCATCTTCAGGTGTAACATGAATAGTAGAAAGTGCAGCTCCTTCAATAGAATTCATGGAGTAACCACAAGGATCAAACTCGAAATCGCATATATCAGAGTTGGGAAGGATCTTCCTTATGCCAGATCTAATAGTCATTTGAGCTGCCGAGCTAGATTCAGTCTTGTAAAATATAGAAGCCTTCTCCCTATCCAAACTAGTCATGCACATCTCAAGAGTGTACACAGGGTTCTTAGACTGAGTAGGTCCAGCCGAGGCAGAGTAAACATGCCATTTTTGAAGTTTATCAGGACTGCCCAAAATCACAGCTTTGCTGCCTGAAGTAAGCTTTCCAAAGTAGCTATCAAGAACAGCAACTTCTTCAGAGAAGTGACGATGAGGAAACGACTGAGCACCAGGGAAAATGAAACTCCCACGGGTATACTTCACAGCTTGTACTTCGAGTGAAAGGGTATCAGCCAACTTCAGAATGGCAGGAATTGAGAGAAGCAACTTTGTGGTACCACAGGTCTTGATGATTATCTTGTAAGAATAAATGAAAAGGCTCGACTCAGAGAGGACATAGGAGTCAACACACTCATTAGAAAGAGAATCAACTATGGTGCACTCAGCAGGTCCTAGAATCTCATCCAATTGTGCTTTTGACAGAGATCGAAGTCCTTTTCCTTCAGGATCAGCAAAAAGGCCAGGTTCAAAAAAGGAAATTTCAAGCCTCTTCTCATAACCTTCAAAGCCTATGGCAGAAACTGGTAATGCCACTTCCATGATGAAAATATGTTCACAGCAACAAATGATCTTTTAAAGGAAATTGTTCACAGCCAAGGAGTGTAAGAGCAGAAAGCAGCAGAAGAAGGAAGAAATTGAGGAAAAGGAGTGAGGGTTTAACAACAAAAACAATTGACAGAAGGAAATTTTTTTTGGGAATTTTTCTTTTTTGTGTCAGGAGGCACGTGCAGGAGAGAAGCTCAAGGAATGTCAGGATGGTTTGCGAGCGCACTGCACATATACAAAAATAAGAAAGTTGCAAGTGATCAGAATAATAAAATTCTTAAAGCTCATTTTCTAAGGTTCATATCCAAAACAAATGAAATCCAGATACTTACGTTGGAGTAAGCAGCTGATCTGAACTTCTTGATTCCACCGTTTGGCCGAACGTCTTCAATACTGTAGCCGAGGGGTGCTTCGTAGAGTAAGGATTTACTACTAGACTTTTTACCACCTTTAGACTCCATTAGATCATTCACCTGGATCTGCCAATAAGATAACTAAAACTTCAGATAGCATTGAAACAGAGTAACATAATAAGAGCAACTTAAACAATTACAATGGCGAAGTGCAAACAACAACAGAAGTAACAAAAGGAGTCCAAAATGACAGAAAGGGTCAGATGACCTAAAATCAAATGCATTCCCAACATCACAAATGCAAATGGCATATCAGTAAGTAGGATTTCATCTGTAGTTTATGACATCATACAGTCAGATGCCAAATGGAACTAGAGATAAAGTGGATTCTAGACTGGTGATATCCAAGAGCTTAAACGAAAAGAAGAGAAAATATTATCAGAAACCAAAACCAAATACTAACAAAGATTAAAAAGTAAAAACATAGATAATAACTTAAAGGCTCAAAATGTACTTATAAATGGACAGTTTAACAAGCATTTGTGATCAACTATCCAAAAAGGAATTCTAAGACCTGATAACGTTAATGATATTACTGGAGCAATACGTATTAAGCGGACATATACTTCATGTCAACAACAATACAACCAATAATAAATGGACAGTTCAACCAGCATTTGTGATCAACTATCCTAAAAGGAATTCTAAGACCTGATAACGTTAATGATATTACTGGAGCAATTCGTATTAAGTGGACAAATACTTCATATCAACAACAATACAACCATAGATCCCCATGAACAATGAACTGCAGAGTAGTATGACAAATGGTTCACTAGTTATAATAGATGAAGAAACAGGAAAAAGAAGTGATAATTTGGAGCTTAGCAGCACTTAAAGCGTAACAAAATTGCTGAGCGAGATAGTTGGCCAAGATAGGATTTACAGAAATTGAATCAGCTTACAACTACTTACTAGAGGGGATCAAAAGAGAGCAAGTATGCACATAATTCTGTCACCCTACATACATTTTTCTTTCAAGTCCTAAGACATGCAAACTTATAAATGAGAAAAATTGACAATTAAGCTCAAGGTTAAGTCAAGCAAAACTCCTATCACTGTGTACCATGTACTTCTACCAGAAACCATGCATTGAGATTAGGATACTGATCAGCAAAAGCTGCAAATAGTACTCGTAGCAACCACCGATACTTCAGTAAATATTTAACAAACTTGGTAATCTATACAGCAAACATCCTTATACATGGCACACATCTTATTTTCATTATGACATAGACACAATAATTCCAATATGCAAGTAGAAAGAATTTTACTTATAGTTTTCCATGCATCGGCCAAAAGAAACAACACAGCTCGTTCAAAAAATCTTTTTGGATAGAAAATCTTACTCAATATCTATTTAACTGAAGAGGAAAACTTATTTTTTCAATAAGTAATTATTGATTCCTTCTGTATTTCTACAATGTAATGGCTTCTATTTCATTTTACTTTCCCTATATTTCCTGAATAAATCAATCTTGGTTTGAGAATTTTTTATCAAAAAAATAAAAAACAGAACTTTGGTTTTTGGGAAATACGAGGAAAGTTATATTGAGAACTGATACAAGCACAATAAGACACTTAGGGTAGAGGGAATGACAACTATAGTAAAATCCTAACATGTTAGATCAATAACTTGATATCTACACTCCATTCCTTATTATTTAGCCCATTATTATTTCTTATTCCAACTCTACATTATTTTTTCTGCAAAAGCTTTTAGAAAGTCTACTTGGAAATATTGAAGTTATTTAAGCAATATGTACATCATGATCTCTAGTTTTTTACAACCTCTGTCAAAAGCACTACTCCTTCCATTTCAATTTATGTGGCATAGTTTGACTATCCATGGAGTTCAAGAAAGAACAGAAGACTTTAAAACATGCCATAACATTTAAAATTTACTTCCCTAAACTGTCTTCTCTTTAAAAAGAACTGCTACATAAACTGGAATGGAGAGAGTACATAATAGCGTCACTTGGAATTTCAGAACATCAGAAATGAAGGAAATTCAAGCCATAAAGGGAACCATTTGTCTATCCTTAAAAACCAAAGACTGTTGTATCAATAGAAAAAATTAGTTATTCATTATGTAGAAGTGAAAAAATAATCCAGTTAAGAGTATATACTCAAACCATATACACACACCCCCACCCAACAATTTCTTTTTATCAATTATATGCATATTCTCTACATGAATATTAACTTAAAAAATATAGTGACTCCTAAAATCAAAATCTATAACATCAAAAGGATCAAATAAATGTTGCAGATCTCAAAATCATTTAAATCATCCATTCTATCTAAAAAAAGACACGCAGGGCCTAACAAATACAACATTATAGCCTATCGTTCCAGAAAAGTCGCTAAGGTAAATAAAAGACAAAGAAAAAGAATAAAAATAACAGATTACTTACAATTGAGAAACAAGAGGAATGATTAAATAAGAATAAATAGAATACTTACGATATCAAACTTTTTGAATTGGTTTAAATCTGTCTATCCCCGAATAAATTAATATCAACCTCCAATAATCCTACATCAACGAAACAAACGAATCAGGAAACAAACTCAACAAAAAAATATTAACACAACAGAGATTAGAGATGATAATCTTTTGAGAATACTTACAGAGAATATATGATTGTTAAATCAGAAAAAGAGAGAAACCCTAGAAAACTGTGGCGCAAGAACCAAATGCGCGTGAGAGGAGAAGATTTCACAGGATTCTCGTGAGAGAAAGTAGGATGAGATGGGAAACCGATCGGGTATTTATAAAAGCTGCACTGACATATTTGCCCCCCTAATCTTACAATATTACAGTCGAGCCATCCAGGAAATTTCATCCAACTGATAAAATACTTGACTATATTGCCCTGTAAAGTGGGTACCAATGGGAGGTGGGTATTAGATTCTTTAAAGATTGTCCTTATCTTACATGTATATATTCATATTATTACATTCGTTATATAGAAAGCACTGTATCGGCTTATATTTCTTTATTTTTTTTTGCAACTTCTACTTTCGATCTTCGATAATGTTGCCAAAAATCCTCCAAAAGAATAATGAATATACTCGTATAAGGAACCCCACTCGATTATGGTCCATTAAAGAAGAAAATACTCCCTATTAGAATTTTCGTTTACATAGCTTGAACTAAGACTAGAAAATTATTTAACATTCATTACAAGGTCCACAACCCTCGGTGGCGTTCTCCCACATGATATATTTTTTAATTTCAGTTCCAACTGATTGGCTGATAATTGATATGCTGTATGAGAAGGCGATGATGGAAAATGGATGGCGTGGAGCAACTGTGCAAACAAAATATCAGATTTTCTTTTATAGATAAGTGGCTTTCAGGACACGGGTGGCTAGGGGTGTTCATAAAAACCCGAAAAATAGAATCAAACCAAAAACTAAATCAAACCGACCAAAAAAATCGATACTTTTTGGTATCATTTAGTTTTGATTTTGAATTTTAAAAACCGATCAAATTTGGTTTGGTTTTGGTTTTGATCAAAAAATAACCAGAAAAAAACGAACCAAACCGACTATAGGAGTAACTATTTCAAATTTATTATTACACCTATATATATGTATATTTTTATACAAATTTTCAAGATTTTTATGGTGAATGTTAATCGTTTGCACTTTTAGTACAATTATTTTACTTTTATATTATAGTTTGATTGGTAGTTTTCTTTTGTTAAGTGTAAGATTCCATTTCATGTTAAAAAAATATTTTTAATTGAGTCCTTAAATTATTCATCACTATTTGATTCAATTATCATCAATATATTTTAGTAAATAATAGATTTCTCAAAGGGCAATTGATTTGATAGTGTTACGTTGAAAATGTGGTCGCCGGAATATGTGTTTGGTAGTGTATGTCTTATATTTAATAAAAAACCGACAAATAATCGAAAAAACCGAAAAATCGACAAAACCCGACATAAACCGAATCGAGTAAAAACCGACTTAACTGGTTTGGTTTGGTTCTAATATTTGAAAAATCGACTTACTTGATTTGGTTTCTTTTTAGGAAAAAATTGATCCAAACCGAACCATGAACACCCCTACGGGTGGCCCTTCTTTAATTAAGGGCTAAAAATTAAAATGATAAGGTTCTTTAAATTGGGTCAAATGGAAGGAAATGTAAGATCCAATTTGTCTTTTTACGTGAATGACCTTGTGGCCTTTTGTTCTCTCATGACTCCAAAGGCTGGCTACTTGTCTTTCATATTCTTGTTCTCCTTCAACATCATTGATTCACGTCTTCACGAGTGTGTTTGGGCACCATCTATACATATATACCACAAAAATAACAATATACCCAATACTATCCCACACTGTGGGGTGTGGGGAGGGTAGTGTGTATGTAGATCTTACCGTTATCTTGTGAGCATAGAGAGGTTGTTTTCAATAGACCCTCGGCTCAAAAAAGCATAAGTACCACATTAGTAAAAATAAGTGGCAGCCCTATTTGGACAGCTTTCATATTTATCTTTTTTCTAATTTTTTTTTTTAATTTTTTTCCTCTATTCTATTAGTTTAGTTTATATTAAAAAGCCTTTTACGTTAAATTTTCTAAACGTTATAGTTCTTCTCCCCTTTCCTTTAATTAATTTTTATTAATGTATTTTAATGCATCAAAGATCGGAAATAAAAAGACAATAACCTAAGCCTCATGTGCTATCAAGATATGATCCATTCGTGTTAGCTTAAAATATGTTACGTGACGCCTTCCTGAGATTCCTTGGAAGGGCGACGTAAGGCTAAGCAACTGATGTCAGTGCAGTTATTGTCCGCCAACTGAGGTCCCCTCCGTACGCTAGACGAGATTGTCAGTGTCGTACGGGAAAACCAATGTCAAGAGCAATTGAGAGAACAGAAATGAGAATTGAGAATGAAAGAAAGCTTGATTGCATTAATGAAAGTTATTACAGAAAAGCAACGCGGTGTCGAGGGGGAGAGACACCAGTACAGAGAATTACTTGCTTGCTAGAAAGTTTTGATTGCTTGATCCCTCCTAATAATGCTTAAAAAAAAATCCAAAGCTACAAGACTAGACTTGACTAAGCTAGAGAAACATGATGGAAGTACATGAAATAAAACTACTCTATATTTACAATGAAAATGACTTAGTTTTCTATAAGGCAGCAGCAGGTCCGTTGTCAGCAGCAGTGTTTTTGGCATCACGATCTGCGCGCGCGGCGTTGTCTGCGCGCGCGGCGCTGTTGGCATCTGCCTGCGGCTTGGCGCTGGCGAGGGATATCGGTGAGGCGACAGAGGCACCTGCGCGCTTGTCACTTGGCGCGGCCAAGATCACGGGGCCGTCCATGGCGCTAGGCATTGGGAGGCTTGCTAGGACGCCATGGGGCGCGCCCAAGGGGTCATAGGGCATGGCTGAAAAGCCGCCCATGACATTCTTCCCCACCTGAGTTGGCGACGTCCTCGGCGCCTTACTTGCAAAATAATCTTCAATGAGACTCTTGTAGGCTTTGAGGTTTGTTCCCCTCTCCCAAGTATTCTCTTCTGCATCACAGCCCTCCCATTTCACCAAGAACTCTTGGTGATCTTTCCTTGAGGCATGAATCACTCTATCATCAAGGATAGCTTCAATACGCCTTTCCCCGGTTGAATTGGGACCTCGAATACTGGGTATTGTAAGCTGGCTCCTTGAAGGATCCTCCGTGTCTTCCCGAAAAGGTTTCATGAAACTGACATGGAAGACAGGATGAATTTTCCACCAAGCTGGGGTATCCACCCGGTATGCATCTTTCCCAATGCGCCTTTCAATGGACAAGGGTCCAATGTATATTTGCAATAGGCGAGGGTCATGGACCCCAGCAAATAAGTACCGCTTTGGAATTTTGACTATCACTTTGTCTCCTACTTGATATTCAACAAAGCGACGATTCTGATCAGCATGCCTCTTCATCCGTTTTTGAGCTTTGACAAGATAGCTAAGCACTATCTCCAAATTCCGCTTCCACTCTTTTGAGAAGCTGGCAGCTCGAGGAGATTTAGCCATGTTTGGTGCATTCACAGTGTGTGGGAGTAACGATTGCTGTCCGGTAACAATTTCAAAAGCACTTTTGTTTGTACTAGAGCTCTTTTGTGAATTGAAACACAGTTGAGCAGCATCCAAAAGCTTCACCTAATTCTTCTGCGATCCGGTTACAAAGTGGCGGAGATATTCCTCCAACATACCATTGAACTGCTCCGTCTGGCCATCAGATTGTGGATGAAAACTTGAGTAGTGACTCAGTTTTGACCCAAGGCACTTGAAGAGTTGGGTCTAAAAGTTGCTAGTGAAGCGTGAGTCGAGATAACTAACAATGTCTTTGGGCAGGCCCCAATATTTGACAACATGAGAAAAGAAGAGTCAAGCTGTATCTTCTGCTGATATATATTATGGGGCTGCAATAGAGGTGGCATACTTGGAAAACCGGTCCACCACAACTAAGATAGTTGTGAGATCTCCGACCTTGGGCAATCCGATGATGAAATCCAGGGAAACGCTTTCCCAAGGTCTCTTTGGGACAGCTAGTGGTTCCAAGAGTCCCGCTTGTGTCAAGCGGTCCGACTTGTCCTTCTGGCATACTAGACAAGTCTTCACATACTGAGCGATATCATCGGCCATTTGAGGCCAATAATAGGCACAATGAAGTAACGCCATGGTGCGTTCTTCACCGGGATGGCCAGCCCACAGAGTATCATGACATTCTACTAGAAGAGTCCTCCGCAGATCTCCTCCTTTCGGAACATAAAGTCGGTTCCCTTTGACTTTCAGAAAACCATCTTCCATGTAGAACTGGCGAGTCTTGCCCTGTCCTACCAAATCAACCAAATACTGAGCAGTAGGATCCTTTTTGAGTAGATCCTGTATCTGCTCCTTGATGGAGGTGGCTACTTCGCTCCCCCTTAGGGTGGCGAGTAGGCACACCGATGCTAGATCAGCTCTCCGACTGAGTGCATCAGTAACATGAGTGGCCTTTCCACTGCGGTACTCCAGGTTGAAGTGGAATTCAGCTAGGAGCTCCTGCCACCCGGCCTGTCGACCATTCAGCTTCGGCTGGGTCATGAAATGGCTGACAGCTGTGTTGTCTGTCTTGACCACGAATAGGGTTCCCAGCAGATAGTGCCTCCAAAGGCGCAAGTAGTGGACGTCAACCAATAATTCTTTCTCATGGGCGGCATAACGCCGCTCTGCATCCTTCAGCTTCCGACTCTCGTACGCTATAGGGTGCCCTTCTTGTAGCAAGACTCCACCGAGGGCATAGTCAGATGCATCCGTTTGTACCTCGAACGGCTTGGCCAAATCAGGGAGGGCCAAGACGGGGCTACTAGACATAGCCGCTTTTAATGCGTTAAAGGCCTCCGCTCTCCTTGGTCCCCAATCCCAAGGTGTGACTTTCTTGAGGAGTTCTGTCAATGGCACTACGATAAGGGAGTAGTTTTTCACAAACCGCCGGTAGAAGTTGCATAGGCCAAGGAACGCCCTTAAGGCATGGACATCCTTAGGCGGCGGCCAATCTGTGATGGCCTGAATTTTCTGTTGGTCCATCTTGATGCGTCCTTCCTCGATGACATGTCCGAGGAAGTCAATTTGCTTCTGAGCAAAGGAGCATTTGGATGGCTTCGCATATAGTTCATGCTCCCGCAAACGAGCTAAGACCTTCCGCAAATGCGCTAGGTGTTATTCCAATGTTTGGTTATATACCACAATGTCATCCAAGTAGACCAC